CAAAACTCAAATCAGGCCTTGTGCACACAGCCAGGTAGATCAGGCTACCTACTGCCTCTCTGTACATTCTAACATCCTTCATCGGTACAGCATCATCTAAGTAGTTAAGTTTTTGCTCACAAGGTGTCGCTCTCGGTTTACAATCCTGCATGTTAAACCTTTCAAGTATTTTGTTCACATATTTCTTCTGTGACATCTTTACACATGAATCAGTTTGATCAAAATCAATGCCCAGGAAATGTTTTAGTTTCCCCAAGTCTTTCATCCTGAATTTAGCTGTGAGCATCTCCTTAACAACTTTCAATGCATTGTTATCACTAGCTGCAATGATTATGTCATCAACCCATATTATCATTATCACTTTCCAGTTTTCAGTTTCTTTTGTGTAAACACAATGGTCAGCCGGGTTCTGTAGGAACTCTTTTTCACTCAGATACTCATGCAGCATTTTGTTCCAATTTCTGCCTGACTGTTTAAGCCCATATAGTGACTTTTCTAGCTTGTACACCAACTTTTCACCTTTACTGGATTTGACCTCAAAACCTTCTGGCTGTTCCATGTATATCTCACAGTCTATTGGTGCATGTAGGTAAGCAGTTTTAACATCCATTTGGTGTAAAATCAGATTTTCCTGTGCTGCTTTTTGCATTAACACTCTGATACTGGTGAGGTTAGCGGTAGGTGAAAATGTCTCATCATAGTTTTCGCCCCTTTTCTGACTGTATCCCTTGGCTACATATCGTGCCTTGTATCTTTCGGACCCATCAACATTGGTTTTGATATCATACACCCATTTACCCCCCACTGCTCTCTCACTCTGAGGTAAGTTGGTCAGGATAAATGTATCATTTTCTTTAGTGATTGCATTTCCTCATCCATTGCAATAACCCATTGTTTTGACTCAGATGAAGTTACAGCTTCCCTAAATGTTAAAGGGATATTGCACATTAATCTGTAACAATAGTCAATATTTGTCAGTAGCTGATCCTCACTTTCCTTACCACATACACTGGCACATAAGTAAGCTGGCTTCTTCCTCACTCTTGAAGGATAACGCCTAAGCTCACTCTTGTCGTCTTCTGTCTCTGTTACCACAGGTATAGATACTGGACTAACGTTAGTATCACACTTGATTTTGCCAGATTTGTTCTGTACCTCAAAGTCATCATCAGAGACAGTTTGTGTTTCTCTTTCTGAATTGGTCTTGGTCACAAACTTCACAAGTCTAGATTTTTGCACTTTTCCACTGTGAGGGAAATAGACCATGAAGGCTGGACTATTTTTGTCATATCCAACAAAAATTCCCTCCTCACACCTTGAGTACATAGCACACTGACCCAAACTTGTGCATTCTGGACAGGTTAGGCCGTCTACCTGTCAGCATAAAGTAAGGTGTCTGTTTTGTGCGGTTGTTAAAGCATCTATTCCTTACTACGGCTGCTGTCTGTACTGCATAGGTCCACATACTTTTTGGCATCTCATTTTCTATAAGCATGCACCTGGCCATGTCAAAAAGTGTGCGCCAATTCCTCTCAGCAGTGCCATTTTGATGTGGGGAGTACGGTGCTGACTTTTCATGTCTAATCTTATTACTGCATAGCAATGCTTGGTAATGTTTCCCTGTGAACTCTGTGCCATTGTCTGACCTGATACATTTTACTTTCCCGTATGGGGCAGTATCGGCCAGAAATCTCTCTGTTGCTTGCACTGTGTCACTTTTGTTTTTAAGGAAATACACAAACACTGCACTGGAGTAATCATCTGTGAATGATAAAGCATACTTAAAGCCTTCTCTGGATTGCGGATCTATTGGTCCTGCTATATCTGTGTGCACCAACTCTAGAGCTTCTCTGGCTCTAACATCAGGCTCCCTGTTCCTGGTTTGGGTAAACTTCCCTTTAGTGCATACATCACAATGTGGAGGTTTGTTTACCTTACCCTTAACTGACATGCCTTTAACAACATTCTGTAACTTCTGAATATCATCATAATTACAGTGTCCTAGGATCTCATGCCATGTCTGTAAATCATAACACCTGTTGCATTGGTCATCACATTCATCATTTACTGTGTTCAAGAAATAAAGTCTGTTCAATTCATAAATGTGAAAATGTGTACCGTCTTTGTGTTGCAGGACGTCTTTGCCCTGCTCGAAGGTTACCGTTGCTCCTTTGGTAGTAGCTGCTTTCACAGAAAAAATGTCTTGGGGGTACGATGGGATGTACAACACCTTATTCAGGGTTGTTTTGTGTCTTTTCCCCATGCTATCCACCATAATAACAACAACAGCGTCCCCTCTTCCTTCTGCTACACCATTGCACCTGGTACCATCAGCTAATTCCACACAGTGGGATTCAGCCTGGAAGTCATCATCAACCTCTTGAACTTTGTTACATCCGTGACGATATGTGAAGTCGCCCCTGTGTCCACCATCAGTCCTCTCTCGGTGATGCTGTGCCCTGGCTGGACCTTGTTGTCCACGTCGTTGACTCGGAAAGCATACTCCTCGCCAGTCGTTTCATCCGAAGCTTTCCGCGCGTCGTCCTCCCGTCGCTGCTTCCGCCTGCAGGCCGCATCCCGATGCGTGTTGCTTTTACAATGACTGCACCACAGCTTACGTTGGCACGTTCCGGCCTTGTGTCCACTCAGGCCGCACCTGTAACAAACAATGTCCGCACACTTGGTTCCTTTATCCCATGCTCTTGGAACAGAGGGGTCGTCTTGGTCTCAACTGCTCCCGCGCCCTCATGACGTTGTCCTCTGGTGGCGGTGTGCGCATTCGCTCAGTATCCTCATAGCTGCGGAGCTTAGTCTTAAATTCCGCAAAACGTATTGTCCGGTCAATTTGCGTGATGTGGATGGCGAATGGTTTAAATGATTCTGGCAGTCCCTTCAAAACCATTGCTACAAGAAGCCCATCACTTAATTTATCCTCCGCGTTTCTCAAAGCGGTGATGGCGGTCTCTGCACGTATTATATACTCCATCACACTTTCACTGCTTGACTTTAGGAGTGATGTCAGTTCAGTATATAGGCTGATAATACGTGGTTTACCTGTGCCAGCATAATAGTCTCTTAAAATCTTCAATGCCTGCCGACCATTATCCGCTGCCTCCCTCATTACAAGGGACAAACTTGTGTCATCAAGAAATTGGATAAGCTCTGCATAAGCCTCTTCATTTTTCCCTTCATCGTCCGCCTCTTCATCTTCCTCAATTATGTCCGTAGGACTCCTTAAAATAGTATTCTTCAGTCCCTGTAAGCGAAGATGGCCCAAGAATTTAGTCTCCCACAGTTCATAGTTCTTTTCATCCCCGTCAAACACTAGCCGAGACCAGCGGCTACTGGATCCTGTGCCCAACCTGCTCATGGCGTTAGCTTAGCTTGCTAATCCACCACACGTGCTACGTTGCGACTTTCCATCGGTGGACAAACGCCGGAAATACTTATTTGGGTGTCTCTGGGCCCATAACCTGTTAGCAGAGTAAGCATAACTTCATTGCTGTTTAGCATCCAAATAAGCGGAGGAATAACGAAACATCAGAGACAGTGGCATTTCATTCAACGGGCTCTCCCATTGGAGGCGTGGCTTTATTTATTCCCATCATGACCTTTAACCTGTTACGCTATTGGCTTCCGGTCATGCACAACAAATAACACGAATTGGTAACACATTTACCTGAATGTTAACACTCTCTGTCTAATATGTTCGCTAGTTGTTAGTGTTGTTGCATAGCAACCACCTCGCACTATGTTTCGTGCAGAAGCCAACGGAGGGACTATTTTATTTTGAACATCATTATTTACTAATAACAAGTATTTAAAGGGGACCTATCATGCAAAATGCACTTTTTTACATCTTTTATACATGAATATGTGTCCCCGGTGTGTCAGGGAACTCACCAAGTGTCAGAAAACACAACCCTCTCTCTTTCCCTCCATACCCAAATCTCTAAAAACGGGGCTGCAACGGAGCTGATTATTATTTGAATGTTTCTGACATCAGAAAAGGGGTGCTCCGCCTATATGGGCAACTCTCCACCTATCAGGGGAATGAGAGACCGCTCGAAAGCGCTGGAGACGCTGTAGTACATATGCCAGGCCTGTAAGTGGCGCAGTAGTCTGCCACAAAAGCAGAATCAGCTCTTGCAAAAACAGGGCTGGAAAAGAGCAAATAGAGCAAAATGAGTCATGGCTAAAATGCATGATCTGTTTGGTATTTAAAAAAAAAAAAATCACAGACATGTTTTATATAGGTATGGCCCTACAATATATGTTTAAAATATAGCATGATAGGTCCACTTTAAATTAGAGTGTGTATTTTTCTTTCATATTGCCACACTTGGTAACCGTTTTATAAAAGCAATAGCTCACTTCAGGCCGTGAGCTATTGCTTAAAGTGGACCTATCATGCTATATTTGAATAATATATTGTAGGGCCATACCTATATAAAACATGTCTGTGAAGTTGTTTTTTCAAAATAACAAACAGATCATGCATTTTAGCCATGCCACATTTCGCTCTATTTTCTCTTTTTTAGCCCTGTTTTTGCAAGGGCTGAATCTGTGAGAAGTCTTCTTCGTTGCTTTTGTGACAGACTACAGCGCCACCTACAGGCCTGGCATATGTACTACAGCGTCTCCAGCGGTTTCGAACGGCAATGGCCGTGGCTGTTTCCTCCTGAAAGGTGGAGAGTTGCCCATATAGGCGGAGCTCCTCGTTTCTGACGTCAGAGATATTTCAAATCTGTATCAGTCTGTATCAGATCCGTTGCAGCCCCGTTTTTAGAGATTTGGGTATGGAGGAAAAGAGAGAGGGTTGTGTTTTCTGACACTTGGTGAGTTCCCTGACACATCACCGGGGACACATATTCATGTATAAAAGACGTACAAAAGTGCATTTTGCACGATAGGTCCCTTTTAAGTATAGGCCTCCACCACAACAGACTCTTACAACTTCCTACTGATATAAAACAAAGAATGAAGACATTTCCTCTTACCAGGTCGGGAAGGAATTCTGAGAAGAACTGAGGGAGGGATGGCGTCGGTAAGGCTGACAGTTACCACAGTGACAAAGCTTGTCGTAGCGTCAAGAACAACCGAGCACATAAATAAAACCTCCACCTTGCAGATCACAGGATTATCATACGGTGTATTCCCATCATTCTCCTCTTTCTTCGACCTGACAAAAGTAAAAATACTTCAAAATACTGAATAATTTGTTATTAACATTGAAGGCAAATCTTTGAACCGTTACTGTACATACCTGTGCAATTGTATGTACTAATGAAAATTGTGTGACATGATTGGAAGCTAAAGAACAGTTAATAAATGGACCTTGAGGTGAAATAATTTTTTCAATTTTTTTTTTACTTAGCGAAAACTGAGCAGTGAACAAAATGTAAAAGCTGAAAAATGTCCGTCTTATCAAAAGTGTGTGAGATCAGGGGTGAATTGTCCTCTTTATCCCCGCAACAAAAAAAGCCTGGAGCCTGTGTTACATCATGCAGTTTCCCCCACTGCTGATCAAAATAAACACAGCATACTTAGCCCCCCACTGAGCAGAAGGGAAACAGATTAGACTCACACTAAGACCCCGGCCACACGAGGACGAAAACGGCTAAACGCATAGGATTAACGCAAACGCAATCGCAAACAAGCTTCCGTCCACACGCAATAGTTATCCGGATAGTGTCTGCCCACACGAGACGGCTCCGTTGAGCTCCAACCGCTGGAGAAGCTGCAGTACATTTGCAGGAGCCTGTACGTGGCGCTGTAACTTCCTCCACAAAAGCAGCGAAGAAGCATGGTTGTCATGGTTGCCCTTCTGTTTATTCTCCGCGGTGGGGGCCGAGGGAACCGGGCAGAGTTTTTCGCCAGTCAACGTGTATTAAAGTTTAAATCCTCCGACAAAATTATAAAAGTGCCGGTCAAAGGTCTTCTTTGTTATTTATTGAGCTTTAAAACAAATGAATAATGACTCTATATAATATAATAATATAAATACACGGAGCCTCTCTTTTTCCTCCCACTCTTCGGACAGCGCCAGTGTCTGTTTCATGCAGCAGCTGATCCAGTAATGAGTGACCCGGCCGACAGTAAAAATAAACATATTTATAACTAGTTTAGGTAGTTTGAGAGGTGTCTCCGTCCTGTCAGATTAGACTTCACTCGCGTTTATGTCCATATCGAGAGAAAGATAAATAATCTGAATTCAGTGTGCAGTTTACTTTGACGCGGGGGTGAGCAGCAGAGGTGGGGAGAGGCGGGGCTATTGCGCAATCATTATCAGAAAATGATCGCTGAAGCTGCAGTACATATCCACAAAAGCAGCGAGTAAGATCCCCCCCGGATGTGTAAGTCTGCTGTAGATGTTGCACAAAGAACTGTAGCATGGTCAGTAGCGTCCGGAGCAGGATAGCAACTCTGCGATCCGCCATTGTTGTTGTTGTTGGTGGCGAAACACATCAGCAATGGCGCGGGGTACGCGGAGGTGAGCAGCAGAGGTGGGGAGAGGCGGGGCTATTGCGCAATCATTATCAGAAAATGATCGGATAGGGCGCACACACGGAGCTGTTTGACCCACCAGAGCGTTGCGTATGCCGATCTATCCACCTTGGGACCCGTTATCGTTTCCTCAGTCGTTTAGTGCCGTATGCGGTCGTCCTCGTGTGGCCGAATGGTCTATATGACACTAAACAGTAACGCAAACGGCCGTTTTCGTCCTCGTGTGGCCGGGGCATAATACACACACAAACAAACAACAAAGAAAAGAAACACAGAAAATGAAATAGTGAAGTTTCATACTTACGACACACTCTGTAAGCTAATTGCCTTGACACCAGCAGCCTTTGTGGTTGATGGTGGGCCGTGTGATTGAAGTTCACATATTAGATTTTCCCAGTTTTCATCAATTTTGCACAGAATGTCCAAACAGGTGCCTGACAAGAAATCAGATTTGCATGTTAGGAGCACGTTGAGAGACATCTCCACGTGATTTACTGTTGACTGTGACCTTCAAATAAGGGCTTCTGAGAAACAGGCTAGCTTCATATTCTGAGAACAGTGAAATATTATAGCTGCAAGCACACATACTGAGGTACGGTTCCTGCCTGGAAACGTCATTACAAAAGGACCAGTGCATGGGATTTGGGGGATCTAGTGGCAGAATATAAATAAAGTATTCATACACGTTTTTGAGCAGTAGGTGATTAACATTTTTATTATCTGAATGTTGCTTTTGAGCTGACATTTCATAATAAGCACTTAATACAAGGTAGACCTGGGAATTATGGGAATGTCACACGTTTTGCACAACATTAGTATTGTTCAAAGATGTGTTAAGATATTTCAGGCTGGTCCAAAGTAGTGGACTAAAAGAATATCAAGTGTTTTTAGAGATGAGGTAAACACAGATGTGCTTCAGCATGTCATGGGCGTGTTTTCCGTAGCATTAAAGAGTAAAGTTTCCATCAGCATCTAACCGGACCCAAGGGACATTAACAGATCCGCTTGCACACTGTTGCAAAGTCCTGCAGCTGAAAAGCTATTTAGCACACTAACTGACATTAGTAGCGCAGTTTACACATGTTCAGCAAGCTTAAGCTCAGGAAAGGATGTGTATTCATGTTTGTAGGTTGAATAAGGACAACACGTAACCAGGAATGCTTATACAAAACTTTGTGTTCTATAAAATAAATTGTTATTTAAAAAAGCTCTTTTGATCAATCTCAGCCTTCTCACGTTATTAACCCACACCTATCTTAAAGACAATTTGGTACTTAAACCAACAGAATGATAAATAAAATGAATATGGCTAACCAAAGAATATGAATGAGCAAAACGCTCTGGGACCTTTGGGAGCTGTATCATACCTGACTGTCAAAAAGGCCTCATAAAGCAGAAAGGAGGCGTATAAGGAGTATGTCTACAACTTCTCCATTTGATCATCATTGCTTGGGGATGAATCTTGAAGATCTCAGCTAATCACCATTGATTCAAATGTCCCCCTGCACCACACAGATCGATGAAAACAAACAAATCCTCCACACCTCCCTCGTCTCAATATAATCTCATCTCAATCTTCACGCTGATAATATCAAAAGAGCATTTTATAATTATGACTCACTTGGAAAGGCCCCCCATTTGCTCTTTAAACTTAAAGACCTGCGTACTTTCTCCTCCTGCTAGAGAACACAGTGATGCTGAACGACCCCCCAGATGAATATGAAACGGATGAGACGGAAATGTAATTCTGTGCTGATCAGAGGGAGGGGGGGTGGGCAAGCTTAAAGTGTAATGAACCTGTCAGGCTGATCTTTGGAGGCACATATATCGGTGACAAGTGATGACACTGCAAGAAGAATGGTGAATCGTGAGGCTCCTTCACACACCCTGCTGTTTGTTCTGATGAGCCACATTACACAACCACCCTGTTGCTACTTGGAATGAAAAGTGTGTCATCTTCATGTTTGCTTTTAAACAGACAGGGTTCAATGTTCCCATAAAAACATGTCACTGAATTTGTCATGCGGCAAGTTAAAAATTCTCCCAACAAAAGATTAAGCATATCTGAATGTATAGGAGAATCGTTCTGAGTCTCTGTCGGTCTCATTAATCTGCTACCTTGATGCATAAAAAAAGGCTAGTTTAATAATGTCTCTGTTAATTGTCTTTCTGAAGACATGTAACACCGACGCAGTGTAGAAAGCCCTGGATTAAACCGAAGGAAGGGACCTAAAGGTGCCAAACTGCATGTCAGTTGATATAATGCAAAACAGTCAGTACAGCTTGTTAAACAAAACCAGACTCACTGAAAAAAATAATTAGATTATCCTTAGTTTGGATTGGAAGCCTGATGTTAATTTGATCAGCCATTGAGAATCCTGACTGGCAGAGTTTGATATTCATTTGTTCATATTTGATTTCAATATATGAAAATACAGATATTGAGTGAGATACATTAATTCCCGTGCACTAACTCTTTTAACCGGGTCTTGTCAACCAGGATGAAAGCAACTCACATATGTTTTTGCTTTTTTAAGAAACATATTAGATACCAGTATTGAATGACCTCTCACCTCCAGAGGGATCAGGAGGGTGTGATCTGGTTGTGGAGCTCCTGAAGCTGCAGAGGGGATGGTGCAGGGGGTTTGAATCAGAGCGGTTTGTCTCCGGTGTGTGTGTGCTGTCTCCCTCCGCAGTGAGGTGGGCTGAGGGTGAGTCACAGCACAGCTCATCCTGCCAGGGGAGCTCCATGGCACCTGACTGCAGAGAGGCCCCCTCATCGAGCCCCAAACTCAGGGCCCCTGCTCACAGAGAGGAAGGTAAATTAAGAGGGAAGTATATTATATTACGTTTGGAGGGAGACAAATTTGAGTATTTTATATATCTTGTCTTATTGTTATCTTAACAAAATAAAATATTTCTCCCATTTAAAACAACCCAATGCTGTATTTTATTTACGTTTCACAGCAGAATAGTTTTTTTTCCAAGTTTGATAATGATATAAAAAAACATAAATTTAATGCATTTCTTATAAATAAAAAAAGTGATATAAAGCACCTGATAAAAAAAAGATACAATAGAAAATAGAATTGCTTTCCTGTTTCTGATAAAAATCTATGTTAACAAATGCCTTGCATGTAAAGTAAAACGTTCTTTTTTTTGCCAAAACAATCCTGAAATTGTTACATAAGTCCCCTGAACAAGGTGTTATCATTAGTCAAAGATAACTCATCTACTCTACATTCATTTATGAACAACTCGTCATTGAGTAAAAGATTGCCAGATTGGGTGGACAAAGAAATAGAGGACAAGAGAGCCATCTCAAGACATTTACATTGTTTTCTGTTCCCAAAAAGTCAAACAATATATGGCTTCTTTCTTTGAAATCCTTCATCTCATTTTGTTTTGAGGCAACAGCTGTGTTTTAGAAAAGAAGAAAAAGAATCCTGAGAAAAGACCTTGTTAGTCTCCAACTGGGTGATATTGATTTAGCTCAGGTGTAACTCCTTACGTCGGTTTGACAACTGGAGGGAAAACATTAATCTACTGTCAAAGAAGAGTACAGTGCTTTCATTTGGACAGCTATGCCCACATGGGCTCCACACGGGAAATCTGTCCACCATAACACCATCAATCTAAAGTGTGGTATGAGGCTGCTGCTGTGTTCAGTGGAGATGTTATAGTAATACACATCGTGACCAGTGCTACCTAAATATAATCAGTTTTGCGCAAAAATTAAGCATACGATATAACCAAAATAAAAATAAGCAATAGGGATTAAGGTGTTCCTCTTCTCTAACTAAGAAGGCCAATCTTCTCATACACATTAATAACATCCAGAATTACATTCATAATGTCAGAATCTCTTTGCCAGGACGAAAGCCTCACAAAATCAATAGGACAAATTAAACTTGTCAAACTTAGTAAATTGCCAACAAGTGCACTCATTTCAAATTAATCTATAGCATTCCTTGGACAAACCTCAGGGTATTTCTATGAACAATATAATACTTTACACAGTAAGATCCCTCCAATTTGTATTTCTGAGCTGAACCTCTATGGGGTGAGTTGTTATGCTTACATCAAACCTGAAAAGGATATATATATAAATATTGTTCTTTAAAAAAGGCTATAACCAGGTGGAAGAATGCATACAAGCTAAGCTATCACAAGTGTTGTGATGGAGGTGAAACTCACCATTGGATACCAAGAAGATTTGCATCAGGACCATCACTGTCATACACCAAACCCTGTAGAGAAACAAAGAGGGTGAGCGATGGCGGGAAAACGCTTGATATCGCAGTCATACAAAGAGAAAAAACAATGTAGATGATGAGAGAGCAACGAGATACAGATGATAACAACATTGAGTGAATCACGTATCAAGGGAAGGAACAGTTCATTTTGGATTGCTCCATGAACATAACACAAGTTTTAATGAGCGTTTTATGATTTTGGTCATCTTTATTGTTCTACAAATTCTACCAGTGCGATTACATATCTAAAGTGTTCTATTCAATGCTCTCTGTGACGCATTTGCTGGAAATGGGAGGAACTTCTGCAGGTTATCCATGTCGTGAATTATTAACAATCCATGCTTAATGAAGGAAAGAATAAATGGCCATCACCAGATCTCATGATATTCAAAACAAAACCAGCATCCTAGGAGAGCAGTGGGAGTTGTAGCCATACTGTAGATGCCACTGAACAGCCCAGTGCCAGGAAACATGAGTAGCACAGTACCGTGGAGGAACTAGTGTACCGACTTTTGTACAGACGTTACGCCAGACCTAAAGTGGCAGCCAGGAGTGTTGCGACACAAGACCATGGTCAGTATTAACAACGTTTCAGTTCCACACCCCCTCCCAGGAGAGTGTAGGGCTGGTAAAAAAAATGTGTTGCCATCACATCTCTGTGCAACAAGCTCCTCAACCCTTTCATCAACACATGACTCAGTTGTTGGAAAGAGGTGTCCTGAGTAATCACAGCTCATAATTGATTGTTCATTTTGTCACAATAAATTAACTTAAGAGCAGCATCACATGTATTTAGTCATCATATTGGGGGGTTTATCTCCCCCTAGTTGGGAATCCAAAGTATAGACACATCTGTGCTGTAGCCCAAATGTAAGAATGTAAATGGACAACCATGAAAACCATTAAAACAATATTTATATGTAATACACATTTAGTGTTTGGGAAATTTTCCACATTCAAATTCACTCATACCAGAAGCCTCAGCATGAATCACTAAAAGCACAAGAACTTGTCTGTGCTGTTATCATTGTCTTTAACATTAACCCTTAACTATAACTCCAATTATTCATTTTTTTTCCTGCAATTATCTTGCTTTGCCGAACACCGTTATCTCTACAAAGTTATTTTTCCTGGCTGCAAAGAAAATAAATCCATTTACAGAATTATTGAATGCCCCGTTATTATAGATGCTCTCATTTTCCACTAACCTTTTATAGAAATACCATGGACATAAACGGTTTGAACATCTGCTCTGGCAAGGGGCTGCGATTATTTCTTACCATTTGCAACTGGCCTTATCACCATGGGCCAGGACCACCACTGACATACTTGCATATTCTCTATACTTTAGCTTATTCCTTGGATAATTGTTTGCACATTCCTGCACGTCCTTCATTTTTAGAACAGGTAGTTAATACATATTTTTTCATTCAAAAACCAAAACTGTCCATATTTTTATTTTCATCTTTTTTAACTTGTGTTTCTTGACTGTTGTAGTTTTTGCTTTTATCTTTTAGTTTATCCTACTATGATTATTGTTATGCACCAAACACCTAGGCTCATTCCTTGTAAGTGTAAACCTACTTTAAAACCTGTTAGTGTATGTTTTCAGAACTGTATAACACCCACGTCCACATAGACCATCTTCATCCATATATTGCAATATACGTACATGTTAGTGGTCATAGCAGGAGCATTTCCTAGCTGAGCTTTGGCTCAAATATAGCATGATAGGTCCACTTTAAGACAAATCCTCAGAGTCAGATTTCTCACTGACAGGAGTCTCTCAAATATCTTTATGTAAAGGTTCAGCGCACAGATACGTGGACTAAATAGAAATCCAAGGCATAGTGGCTAAAACAGGTTAACTTGGTAAGATGTTCAGGGAGTGTTTGGCAACACGTCGTCCTTAAGTCAAAGCAAACCAAGCAGGCAAGCAGAACATGGAACATTATGTGGTCAGAACGAGGCAGGTACGACAAGGTAGTACATAAATGCATGAGGGGAAAAGGGCTGATGTTTATGCCAATGAGAAACCGTGGTGACTGGTGATGTGGGAAAATGCATTGCAGAGCAGGTGATGAAACACAGGAGAGGTTAGTCACTGGAAAAACAATGCATGCAAAAAGTACATGCAAAAAGTCAACAGGCTTTCATTCAAACAGCGTAAATGATACTCCAGATCATGCGGAAAGCAACGTTCTGGCAAGTCATCGATATACAGAAACTATTCACAGCTAGTGAGCACATCTATTTATTCACAGCGTGCAGGGGATTCAAAGCAGGAGAAGGGACGGCAGGAAAAATGTTGCAACATGGAGCACACACCTGTCATTACCCTCAGGTGTCAAAACAAACCTTAGGCCATTTCAAAGAACAACAAACAAAATAAAGTCTATTGAACGCAAGCTATATGGATCAAATCCCCTATCTTGGTATATGTTTTTTTATCTGATATTAGCGTATTGTGGTCTATTTAAAAACAAACACATATAGAATTTCTATTTTTTATAAATGTACTGCCTGACAAATCAAGGTACATTTTCCCATTGATGCCACAAGAATTATAAACAAATCTAACATTTCCAGAAAATCAATCCGGCTCATAGATTTGTAAAGCCACCCATGAAGGTGTAATCTAATTAGGGATGCTCCGATCGATCGGTCACCGATCGATATCGGCCGATACTCACTCTCTACCGATCGATCGGTGCTCTCTAAACATGCCGATCGCGAGAGCCGATCGCATGACGTATGGCTTCACCGGTCTGGCATTATTTTAAGGTGTCCGAAAAAGACAGTAAAATAGTGGTATGCAACGTGTGTGTGAAGCAGAAATCCTGCAGCTCCGCCCGCCGGACCGGTAAGCGGGACGAAACACACAAGAGTTAGACCTAACACACTTAGCTATTTTATCTAGCCTACCTCTGGAACAAGCTAAACTAGTTATTATAAATATATGTATTCTTCACTCTCGGGTCACTCATTACTAGATCAGTGAGTGAACATGATGAGCTGCATGAGATACTGACAAGCTGTCAGGAGAGAGAGAGAGAGAGAGAGAGAGAGAGAGAGAGAGAGAGAGAGGGGGAGAGAGGGGAGAGAGAGAGAGGGAGAGAGGAAAAGAGAGCGCTTCCGCTCATTTCTCCCGTGTTATTATCCAAAGTTAATGTAAACTTGAATAATGTACATCATTTGAATGTAATAATTAAGTTGATTGTTGTTTGTGGAAGCTCCAGTGAATGAGCCCCATTAGCTGAGTTTAAACATCACTTTAAATGGAAGATTTAAAGTGATGTTTAAATCTTCCATTTAGGCCCCGCCCACTCGATCGGATCGGCGATCGGTATCGGCCGATACTGATTCCGGCGATCGGCCCCGAAATTGGCGATCGGATCATCCCTAAATCTAATCAGCAATATTAACATGATAGATGTCACAGTATAAACAGAATCTGATTCATATCTTGCCATAAGAAAACAAATGTCAACTGAAATAAAAGAGAAGTTTCACAAATAATTTAACAAGCACTTCTTATCATATCAATAGGGTTAGGCTTTGCAGAATCACATTTTGGATTATCAGATTATGTGTTGCTGGAGCACATCCACCAAGCTTATTATATAATTCCATACTAACACTGACTGAGCTCTAGCCTTACTGTAATGAACAAACTAAACTAAACTGACCAATGGAAGCTCCAACGATGATTTAGGATATGAGACCACAATCAACAACCACCAGTGTTTACCATTAAATCCATAAAGAGGTTGAAGATATTTGTTTATAGTTTTCACAATATTACAGCCTTTGTTGTGCTATAAAAATCCACTGCAGTTGATGTACTCAGTACCTTACAAGTAATGCAACACTTCAATACATATCCATCATCCGTTAAAGACAAGCATTATCTACTTAATAATAAAAAGGGTTGTCAGCATCTCTCTTCTCCTGTTTCCTAGCCTATTTAGGAACAAAATCGGATCAAGACAACACATGTGAAACTATTTTTCAAATGCATAAAAGGAAGCTCTGCTCTGTTGCTCCATGTCCCCAGGGTCTTCCCCTCTCTCAATGTTCTCCAGGTCTGACTCACTCTCTGTCAGGCTTTGCAGTGGAGGCGCGTCAGGGCTTGTTCCCCCGCATATCTTTCTGACAAGTTCTTCTCGAAACAACCAACAAACATGTCAATCGTGTCGCTAAATGTCCATTTAAAGAGGTTCTCCTAACAAGTTGTTGAAAAGATGGATCGTGAGCAACAGCACATTTCACCAAGTCCTATTTCTCAATGGAAATATAATCAAAAGTTGAATAAAAAATACGCAGAAAAGACAGGATCGAACACAAAATACGTCAAAAGCGAAAAGAAGGTGTCAGTTTGACAGTGAGCGCGTAATTCCTCACCTGTGTGAGAGACAGCCCGTCTGAAAGGTAACAAAAACGGTCGGCAGCCCGACCACAAACACAGCAATGTGAATAAAAGCGTTAAACTGAGCATGAATAAGGAGAGAGTGTCCTTACATATCTCCTGGAAGTTTCTTATGCTTTGGTGCTCAAGTTTTCTTTCGTCCCGGTCCCTCAGTTTATCCAGGGGAGTTTAAATCCTGAGTGAAGAAGACACATGTGCTTCTGTCAGAGTCCGCTGTCCATGTTTGAGTCTGTGTCTAACAACAACAACAACAACAACAACAACAACAACAACAACAACAACAACAGCGAGCAGGATATCCCCCTCACTCGTTTTATCTTCACTCGCACCGCTGCACTTGCTTTGACGTAAAGACCACCAGAGCCTCCTCCGGGCGTTAAGAAAATGTGAATGAAGCCTGGAGGGGAAGACTCCATGGATGTATAATAAGGGGAAGGCTCCCTCACAACAGCACCCTGCCCACCGTGATGCGTTCAAGAACACCTACGGAGATCTCATGACTTAAGATGCTGACCTTTTGGAACAATCACTTGTTTGGTATAAAGAACAGCAACACTTAAAGGTTGCATTTATAAATGCTACCAAAATCACTTCATGCATTAAAGTCCCCTGTTGGCTAAATTACATCAATAGGTTTGGGAAACAATGCCAAGTTGCTAAATATTTTTGAATGGAAAATATTCAAAAGCGTTCCCTGAAATACAGTAAAATGATCATCAGTAAAAATCACTTAACACATGTATGGTCCTCCATCAGAGGATGTGAAAGACAATAGTATAGCAACACAAGGATATTGCTGAGGACACTAGTAGCCTGCATTTGTTGGCATTCAAATCCCCTGAAATGTTCCTGACTTGTTCTTGTAGTATAAGTCACTTCAAAAGCAATCTGAAATATGTGGGTTACTCTGTACATTTGGAAAGGTCACCACATTTCAGGCTTTCTATTTTAACACAAGAACACCAGTTTCCCTTCTTAAAATGTTGGTGTTTTTCATTCCCATTGCATAAGACAAAGCAAAATAAAATGCTATTTTACACACATGTTCGCTTACAGGATTCCTAATGATATGTTGACATTGTTTCTCTAAACAGCCACCACTTGTTGTCAGCTATATTTAATGATAAGTATACTGCTGGCAGCAAAACGAGCAAGCTGATACAAAACTATTTGAGCTCCCTGACGTCTGTCTTTCTCTGATAATCACTCCCTCTGATTTATCTTGCTTATAACAGAAACAGACTTCTGGGAATGCTTTTGTCAGTTAGACCCAACAAATGTTCCTCATGTCAGTAAACAACACATTTTGTTTTTATTTTTATTGGGGTAACTGCAGTGAAACAGGGACAAACACAGGTGTAAACAGTCTATATGTCTCACAGTGTTATGCAGGCTTTGGCTGACAGTTTACCTCTTTAAACCGCCACTATTTTATATCTGGGAAATAAATTCTCCATCCAGATGTTGATCCTTGGCCACACCACAAGTAAACATTTTACAAATGCCAACAATCAGTCCAGTTAATAATGTGTTATTCAAACGGAAAGTATGTCTGTGTCAGTATTACAGTGATCTTAACATAAGAGTGAATGATAAATTATTTAGTTGTACGAGCGCTGTGGCCTGAATTGTGTGTTTCCTTTTTATATTCTTCCAAAATGTTTAACTTACAAAGCACACCAGTTGAAAACACAGAACTTTTATACTGCCTGGTATTTCCCATATATCTTTACAATTACAACTTAATGCTTTAATTTGCAGATGTTGAGTATAGAACTGAACAAACACTTAAGTTCACTTCAATGTAAAACACAGGTTTTGTTTGCGTGAAGAGAATAATGGTGGACATTCAGAAATAAGGATGACCATATCAACACTTATTTGTGCTTAGTTCAACAACCCAATCTTTAATAGATTTGCAGTTTCATAGGAAAATATACGGATTTTTTTAAGGGTAAAATATAACAAAAACATAAAAACAACTGAGTTCTATCTATTCACACTTGTAGCTTGGGGAGTGCAGTGCTAAACATTGACCGAAGCACATCTATTTTACCAGGATAATTACCTTTACAATTGGTTGTTTACTACGGTTTGTATTCAAGTATGGTCCACCAGCTCTCTGTTCTTTCATAATCAATACAAGAAGGTTAAATGCAATGTTCCCAACACACCTGGCTGCTGGATTTACCAATAGCTGTCTGCATGTGTGTACTATGGCCTGAGAGCTGCACCAATTATCACTATGCGACAACATTATGGAATACATAATTAATTTAAATTAGGGCCGGGACTCGATTAAAAAAATTAATCTAATTAATTAGAGGCTTTGTAATTAATTAATCGAAATTAATCGCATTTTTAATCACATATAAATATTTGACCTGAGAACAGTGAGAAGCAATTTTTTTCACATGGATTTTAGTATACCATTAGGCGCATTCACACCGCAGTACTTTTCCCACAAAGGTTCATGAGAACTTAGTTCATGAGAACTCTTTGAACCTGGGGGAGGATTAGGCAAATGAAGCCGCTGACGTCACTTCTTCTGCTTTGGGTTTACTGGCAGGCCGCAAACCACCCAAAGTCCCCGGCCGGAAGTCCCCGGAGTTGGGGACTGGCTTCAGTAGAAGCTGCTGGGAGTCCCAGCAGCTTCTACTGAAGCCTTCCGAGTAAATCGCCAGAACGCCGACACCTCCTCATCTCCACCGCTCCCATGTTTTATTTTGTGTTGCCATAAGTTAGTCCCTCTGCGTTTCTGCGCTGGGCTAATGCTAATGCTAATAATGCTAATACGAGGATAATAAAATGGCGGCTTCACAAAACTTTTTGGGAGGTTTACGGGGCGTGGTTTGCAATCCGCCCAGCCAATCAGAAATATAGCTCTTTTCTCACAAGAGAGCCGCTCGAAAGTCCCTGCTCTCTAGCAGGGACTTTCGTGGGGGTAAAAGGTTCTCATGAACTAATTTTAGTACCGGCTCTTTTTGGTGTGAACGCGATAAAAGAGGCTAACGTCCACGCTAGCTTCCACGCTAGCTGCTATATGTTTTGCATTGAGGTGATACTTGAGGCTTGATGTGCTGCGGTGATATGCGAATTCCTTTTTGCATAATTTGCACACAACCGTGCTCTTATCGACGCTTCCATCCGTCCGTTTTTTAAAACAACATTTCCCACTGTTGTTCACTGTGGTTTGTTGTTGTCTGAAGTCATGAACGTTAGTTGGTGCTCCAGTATAATCGGTACGCCTGAAACTCATCCAGTGAGAAACGTTCCGCGGTGCAAAAATAAGTGCGATTAAAATGCGTTAATTTTTTTAACGGGTTAATTTTTGTGTAATTAATTAATCTTAATTAACGCGTTAAAGTCCCGGCCCTAATTTAAATGTGATATAACTACAATAGTAAACATTTCATAAACTGACGTTAGCAACAGTAATTGTCAGGCAAAGTTAATATAGGTGAAGGTAGTGAAGGTAGTACTGAAGGTGTATTCTAATAAAGTTGAGGTGTTAATATACACTCCCATACCTTTGATAATGCATTATACTTTATTGGTATGCTGTGATGGTTAGACAGTCAATACGGTTGGAGTGGGTGTTACAAATGGAAATTAAAGGTCCCATCTATGCTTTTCTGGTTATTACCCGTACCCTTGTGTGTTATGTAGCTTTTTCTGCATGTAAACGGTCTGCAAAGTCAAAAACCCTCAAAGTACACCCTGTATGCTGCCCCAGAACGCCTCGTTGGAGATTTTATTTCCGGGGCCTATTGACGTCACTAAGTCCAAATGGACCAATTGGCACATCCTCTGCCAGGGTGGACTCCCGAGCAGCTCAGGAGTCCACCCTGGCAGAGGGTGTGCCAATCTGGTCCATCTATTGTTCTATAGCTCCCGGAGCGGACGGTGTGAGGTGGATTTCCCGCTGTGTTTCCATGGATGCTGGATATAGACCAAGTGCCATCGTTAGCGGGACATTACGGAGCTCACAAATCCGCCCCGTAAGGCCCCCGGAGCGGACAGTGTGAGGTGGATTTCCCGCTATGTTTCCATGGATGCTGGATATAGACCAAGTGCCATCGTTAGCGGGACATTGCGGAGCTCAGGCTCCGCAATGCCCCGCTAACATGGCACGCAGACCCCACGCAGCAACCAGGAAACGACACCAGTAATCCACCTCACACTGTCCGCTCCTCGAACCCCACAGGGCGGACCAGCGAGCCCCGTAACGTCCCGCCAACACGGGAACTATGTAAATATATTCTAGTAGACCTCGACAATGGAATTATGATCAGTAGAAATGGCCAAAACATGGGACCTTTAAAGATGGCTGAATTCCATTTACCGTAGATGCTTTGGTTAAAGGTTCCTAGTAATGCTGCATACTAGTTCACTGTCTCTCTCACTGGAAGAATTGAAAATAACAGAGCCCTCATTAGTGTTATAAAGAACTATGCTTTTCTGCAAATGGATGCTGTGAGAAATAACCATATTTAGGACAAACTTCACTCCTTACAAGGTTAACATTTAATTTTAAGGCTAGACTTAATTTGAACTTTAAATTAATTCCTTTTCTTTCACACATAATGGGCGATTGAGAGTTCTCTATTCATCTAACCTGTTCAGATAAGGGGAAAACTTCAAAAAGGACCCAACTGGTCACCATATTTGGACTTAAAAAGCACTAAACACAAAGCCAATATGCTGATTAGGTTGGCATTTGGACTAGGCTGAGGTTAGATTAATGTAAGGCATAGAGCAGTTTAAAATGAGGGTAAGCCTCCAGCAAGAGACTTAATCTAGAGAGAGAGAGATAAAGCGTTGGAGTGAGATACTACCTGCAGTCACTATCAAACTTAATGACGTAAGGATGCGTCATTGTGTGCCTGCATACATTTAAGGAGGAGGAGATTCATTTTCAAATTGAATTCGTTCCTGTGCGTCATGATGAAGGTGCATCACTTTACTTTCACAGAACACTGGTCTTTATAGAGA